ATATTTTGATTTTGAACATTTTCAAACTCTCAGGTAGTTATGGTAACAGTATACACTTTTCTTCCGGGTCTATCAATTGCTAACCTTTTGTCATATTTGCTTTCATCTCCTTCTTCACATGTAATGCATGCCTGCTTTTTGCTCTGGTTTTCAGAACTATGTGAGTGTAGGCAGAATGAGCCGGCCCCTCGCAGTACTTCCGTACCAAGCTCAAGGAGCAGAACATCCACTCACAAGCGTGTGCAACCATTAAGTCATCAACAGGTTGCTGGTGGAAACTTGTTGAGCCACATGCAGTGTACATGCCTGGTGTGGACCTGTGGTGGTCCCCTCTGGTCTTCCGCAGGAACTGCAAGTCTTTTCTGTCAGGCTACGGGGGCTCAGGGCTGGGTGGTTCAGCCTAGACTTCAGTTCCAGGGGGGACAGTCCTGCTTCTAGGGCACCTTACCTTCTGAGGCCCCTAAACGCCAGTGTCTGTCCCTGGGCCCGGGTGCAGCTTTTCAGCCAGTGCTTTCATGACTGGAAATCCCTCCAGGGCTGGATCTCAGTGCACACACTGGCTCCCCATGACAACACCTTCCCACAGGGCCCTGTACACTCCCACTTCCCTAGCTGTGCTAGGGAGGAGGCTAATCCCTGTGGTCTCTTCCTGTTGTTGAACTCCCTCTCTTCAGTTTTAACCTGGACTCTTTAGTGTTTTTCAGTTCTCTGAAGCTTCTAAGAATTTTTTATCACAGTACCCTGGGAGCCTTAGGCAAGAGGACTTCAAGTTAAAACCCAGCCTTGGCAACTTAGTGAGACTGTGCCTCAAAAATAAAAAGGGATGGGGATGTAGCTCAGTGCAAAGGCACTGGGTTCAATCCCTGGTACCGCTACAGAGGCGGGGGGTGGGACTTGTTTAAAACATCTCCCACACAGTTTGTGGCTACTTGCTTTGGATGCCTGCTACTCCTGGGAGAGCATTTCCACGCTGCCAGGCTTTGCTGGGCTTTCTCCTTCTGTCTTGACTTTATTTATTTAGCATTTAAGTTTAAGAAGTTTATTTTTTTACTAATTTGTATTGCCCTTCTGAACCGTCCTCCTTGCTGGTTTGGAATCTGCACTCTATTTCTCTTCTACTGCTGAATCACGACACTGCCTTCAGTTTCGGTGCAAGAAGATGCTAAACACTCTCTGCCCCCCTCCCCCAGACCCTGCTGTTTCTGGCTCCCTTGGCCCTGGTCACTGCTGCCGCTGTCTAGAGCCCTGGTTCCCTTCCTCTGCTCCACTTCAGCCTGCCGTGGTTACTTCAGACATTGGCCTGGGTTCCCACATGTGCACTGGGCTGCTCGTCCGGTGAAAAGTCCCTTCTTGCCCAAGAACATGTTTCAGAAATCCCTTTGGGCCGGGTGTGGTGGTGCACACTGTAATCTCAGCACTTGAGAGGCAGAGGCAGGAGGATCGAGGGAGTTTGAGGCCAGCCTGAACTACATAGCAAGACCCTGTCTCAAAAAACCAAAAGCAAAACAAGAAAGCCCCTTGACAGAGACATCCTGGGGGCACCTAGTGTTCTTTCATCAGTACATGCATGGATTTGAGCCATGCTAGTTGACTTCTTGCTCCTCCAGGAAAGGGCCTGAGGCTGGTACTGGACACAGGAAGGAGGGTTAGCAGTGCCCCGATGTGGAGGCTGTGAAGCAGCACAGTGGTAGCTCTGGTGAGGCCCTGGTAGATGACACAGTACACACAGTGAGAGTGAGAGAGTAAGACTCGAAGCCAGAGAGGCTGGTGTCCCCAGGGCCTTCCTAGAGCAGTGCTCAGAGATTCACTCCCCCATGCACCTGTGAGGTGTAAGGTGGGCACTTCTGCTTGGCACCTGTCCCTCCTGTGCCACGGGCTCAGGAGCCCCATGAGCTACCTGTAGCATCCTATGTCTCCAATCCTTTCTTGTCTGGAACTCATCAGATGTTCTCCCCCCCTCCCATCCACACACAATGATACCCTTTATTTCTACCCCACCATATGGTCCCCAGGGCACCGGTGTACCCCAATTTCCACATAACACCTTCACATTCTTTTTTTTCTTTTGGTACCGGGGATCAAACTCGGGTCCTTGCACTTGCAAGGCAGGTGGTAGAACCACTGAGCTGAATCCCTAGCTCTTCACATTCTTATCTCCCTTCACTGAGAGCAGCCGAACAGGTCCTTCCTGCTGTCAGTGTGAAGTCAGTCTCCAGATACATAAGGAAAAGACCTGGGTTTGAATTCTGCCCCTGCCACCAAGGAGCTTTCCCGAGGCTCTCTGCACCTCAGTTTCCCCATCTGTAACAAGAAGTCAAGTAACTTAGAAGTCAAGTGCCAGCCTGCAGAAGCCTCCACGGGGTCCGTTTCCTCTTTCCTAAGCAAGCTGGATTCTCTTTCTCAGCAGTCGCTGGGGAACCCCTCCTGGCCGGGTTGGGTCGCCCTCACCCCTTCCACCTGAGCCCTCCAACCAGCACTGCCACTAGCCGGGGCACCGCCACACATCAGGGTGGAGCCTGGCCATGCCACTGTCAAAGCTCTTATGGGAGCTTCTGCAAAAGATCTTTTCAGCCCAGAGACATGGGCCCTGCCCTGAGCTCCAGCCTCTCCTGTGACTGCGCCTTACTGCTGAGCTGCCTGGAGTCCGATTTGTTCCTGGCACCCAAAGCATCTGCACAGCTACACCTATGTCTCAGTTCTCAGGAACTCAGCCTGGGAGAGCTTCTGCTATACTTAAATCACAGCTAAAATTGTCCAGAAAAGCATTTCTAATAAGCTCTTTGCAAATATTAAAGAGAATAGCCAGGCACTTGGCTCAGTGGTTCCGCCACCTGCCTGGTAAGCACAAGGTCCTGAGTTTGATCCCTGGTACCAGAAAAAGAGAACAGCCTTCTGCGAGGATGCGACTAGGTTAACGGTTCCCATGAGACAAGTCTCCACTGGTTTCCGACATCCCCGCCGGCAGGGACCTACCCAGATCGTGCAGACGTGTTGACCCAGGCCTGCTCTGTGCTTCCAGCGTGTGACTGCACACGCTGGAGCACACTATGGGCGAATGACCACAGCGAGGACCACAGACTTGCCGGGCCCATCAGGAGAGGAGGGAGGCCGTCCAGGTGGAGGAGGGGCCCAGGTGAAGGCGGAGTCCGACATGGGTCCCACACTTGTTTTATTCTCCAGGCCTCTCCACGTGTCGTTGTCATTTCCCTCAGACCGGCCTTCTACAGCACCAGGCCTGTCCCCAGTTCTGCTGCCTCATCTGATCTCACTGGGAGCTCCCCTGAGCAACGCAGGGCTCCTCGCTGGTGGTACCTGCAGGAGGTGTGGTCCTAGGCCCCGCTGCTCTCCTGTAAACCTGCCCTCTCACCAGCTCCAGCCTGATGACCCAGGCTTACGCCAACATCCGGAGGACCTAGTCCAGTCAGGCTCCAGGGAGGGCGTCCTGTCTGCGTCGTCCTGTCCTCGGGAAGCCCTCACCCTACTGTGAAACCTGACTGTTGAGCTTCCCAAGGCTGTGCCCTGAGGGCACGGGATTCAATTCTTAAAACATTACCCCTGACCCCACCTCCCTAGGGGAGCCAGGCCCGCCCTCAGCCACCCTTTACCAGTGGCCACTTGGCTACGGGTCCCCTGCTCTTTTCACAACAGCCCATAAAGACAGCACAGGGACTGTCCCCGGGGACTGTGTCTTCCCCCACACCTAGCCCAGCAAGCCTTCCAAGTCCCCACCTGGCCAACTCTCCCCACATCCCCTGTGCCACTGACCGGCTTTTCGGGTCCAGCCGGCCTTGAGGCGAGGTCTACAGAGCGGCCCTTCCTCAGAGCCCGGGGGCTGAGTCCGGCCCTGGTGGGCGCGGCCCGGACGCCCGAAG